ATCCTTTTTTCAATGTTCTTTAGCAAGATTGATTTACTTTGTGATGACTTGGTATACGTATTGAAAGCAATANGTATTAAAATTCGTATTAAAAAGTAATAATTTAAAAGAAGAAAACTTTAAGATTCCGTACTTAAAATCTTATCTCATGAAAATTATAGTTATATATAGAATAGTAGCCTTGACGTATTAAATAGTTTTTTTTAGTACGTATACATAAAAAGAAATAGGTTTGAGACAGATTTTTAAAGAAAAAAAATAATACCAAATGCAAAGCAATATAAATAAACTATTATAACGTATAAAAGTTATAATAAGTGAACAGATTACTATATCAATTGATTGTTTTTTTTTCTTTCCTTGAAATCGGGCATTAAGGTGCTATATCTCTGCATGGTTTCGTATAGGGCTACTGGCGATGACTACCACCTACCACGGTTTCTATCATTTTTTACGACTTGAGTTTCAATAAACTCATATGTGTAATCATATCATGTCATACGATTACACATAATTATTCAAAACTCAATGTATGAAAGAAACAATACAAACAAAAGAAGTCAGATTTTACCCTTATTAATAAATAGATAACTAAGAGATCGTTTACTGTTAGTATAGTAGGAGCGCCACTTGCGACTGCTGGCTATAGCTAGTTGCAGTTAATCACAAGAGACAGTAGCTAGCCACAGTCTCATGTATAATTCGTGTATACAATAGTCTACCAATGTACTATATACTAAGCTGCTACTGGCTGCAGCCATCCGCTGCCCCCTTTGATTGGCTAACGCTTGCTGCTGCTAGCTGTAGCCAGTGGTGGCTCCAACTGCTAACCAAGGTTAATGTTAATATTATGACAAATTTCATCTTACTTGTTTCTTTAATCTTTTTTCTTAGTTGTAAGCTTCAATGGTAGAAATTTTGGTTTTTGCTGGTGCGCTATAAATCCATCACTATTATCATAATTTTAAAATATGGTTCCTAATTGTTAAATTACTTTATTTTATAAAAAGATTATAAGACCAAAATGCACATAATTATCAAACATTGTACCTACTATTTCATATGTATGTGCCTGTTTATGAAATTTTTTTCAAAAAATAAATTTAGTTTAATATTTTAAAACAATTAAAGTTTTTTCATTCGCATAACACTCTTGTATTTAACAGAAATAATTATAACATTTATTTGTTCACTAGAATTATATGGGTTATTCGTTGAAGTTTGGTACCATGATATGTGCGATTCAAAAGATAGGTTATACTTGAATTTGTCCCTATTTATGAAATGATATTTAATATTAGTCATTTATTGCATCTACAGTAGAAATTTTCTTGTGAATTCATAAAGATTAATAAAATATACAACTACCACAATTTTTTTAACAAGAAAGTTGCATAACAAATACATGAATTTTCATATTCCAGGAATAGGGATATATTCCACAAATAGGAATATTTACCTCGTAAGCTATACCTAAGGATACTTAAGGACGTTCGGTAGACATAGCGGGAGGGAAACATATGCGAGGCAAGAGGAAACCAGCGATGAGTGAAGATTTGACAACGCCGTACAAGTCTTCAATGTGTGAGTGTTCATGTACACGCATCAGGTGTCTGCTCGTATGCTGCGTCGGTTACGACAGTGTTATACGTGTATATTTAATGTTTTTGTGATAAAGCAGTAAGTATTTGACTTTGATTCGTTATAAAAATGTAATGAAAATGAATAAATAAGTAATTGAAAAGACTTGTGACCATTGTATTTACATTCGTAGATTTCATTCGTAAAAATGCCCAAAGTCAAACAGTATAACCTCCAAAGTACGATAAATGAGAAAGGAACAGAAATAATCATAAATTTGAAATTTTATAAGAAAAATAAATAACGTGTTATTAAAATATATTGTTATTTTCTTATGGAGAAGGGTGGGCGTAATGTACATACGCTCATACACATGTATAAGATTGTATTTTATACGAAAATGCGTAAAATCTACGATAATATTGAAACATTTACTGGTTAACGTCCAAGAGCATTTTAAATTTCCCGCCACTGGCGACGTTGCCATTGTATTTCTATCGAACTTTTATTTATTTTTTTATACATTAACGAATCAGACGATCGTCGCGAAACTTGGTATGCATTAAACTCATAACATTATCTGTGACATATAAAAAAATTGGCGAAATTCACTGGGCCAATTTTCTTAAAACTGAGTTTTAATCAGTTTTCCCATAAGCGACCGTGTTAAAATGACTGAGCTTTGAAATTGAATATCTCGAAAACAAAAGAGACGAATCTTTTAAAATTTGAACTGGTTTATTGCAACAACAACAAGAACGTCTGGTCAAAATTTCAGAAAAATTCACTGGAAAATTCT